TCTTCAAATGATGGCTACCTGCTTTCTCAAGTAAAGTATGCCTCTGATCTTGTTTCTAAAGCTAAACTCAATGATAACAAGAGTGTTTCTACACCTCTTGAGCCTAACGTCAAACTTACGCGCTATGGATGGCTCTCCACTTTCTAATCCCACTCGCTATCGACAATTGGTTGGTAGTCTAATTTATCTTACCACGACACGCCCTGACATAGCATATGCAGTTCATATTGTTAGTCAGTTTATGACTGCTCCTCGCTCCACTCATTATGCAGCAGTATTTCGCATTATTCGCTATGTTAAGGGAACATTATTTCATGGACTTCACTTTTCTGCTCACTCATCTCTTAAACTTCGTGCTCACTTAGATGTTGGTTGGGTTGGAGACTCTAATGATCGTAAATCCACCACTGGATATTGTCTTTTTCTTGGTGATTCTTTAATCTCTTGGCGTAGCAAGAAATAAACAATTCCATCACATTCTAGCATAGAGACCGAATATCGAGCACTTAGAGACACCACATTAGAGTTATTTAACTTACATTGGCTACTAGAAGATATGGGCGTTCCTCAACCGCCTGCTACTAATCTTTATTATGACAATCAGAGTGTCACACAGATTGCTCATAATGATGTCTTCCATGAATGCACTAAACACATTGAGGTTGATTGTCACTTTGTTTGCCATCATGTTGCACGAGGAACCGTTCATTTGGTTTTCATTGGTTTCGCTGATCAACTAGTAGACTGTTTCACCAAGGCTCATTTTCCTGGACGCTTTCGTACTCTTCTTTCCAAACTCAAGTTGGTTAAGTTGATTTCATCACAACCACCTTAAGTTTCAAGGGGAATTTTAAGATGTGAACACACTTATTGTAAATATTGTATACTTTGGAATATTCTCTTTGTATACTTTATACCTTAAAATATTCTCTTTGTAAACACCTATATATAGGTCATTGTACACACAATATTATTCAAGAAAACAATAAACCTTTCTTCTAATTCTTCTTCTTTTTTTCTGTTTCTAACAGTGACAAATGAGAAATTTTCAATTAAGTCTGATGTTTATAGCTTCAGCGTACTAGTTCTCGTGATTACTAGTAGTCAAAAAGTCTATCTCAGTAATGGAGAAGAAGGAGAAAATCTTCAAACTAATATTAGTTATACTTAACCTTAGCTTCATTTTGTTGTGTTCTAAGAGTCAAATAATCATGCCAAGAATCAAGAGACTTTATCTTAAGGCTAAAGTACATGGAGATTTTTCAATCTATGCAGGCAGGGAAAAATTGGATGGAAGGGATTGCTTTGAAATGTTACAGATCCCATCTTAAGGGATGGTTAAAGGAGTGAATTGTTGAGATGCATGCAGGCAGGCTGACTATGTGTTCAAGAAAATGTTGCTAGAAGGCCAACCATGGCATCTGTTGTTTTCATGCTTAGTAGCAATTTCGTATTTCTTCAAGTGCCCTCAAAACCAGCATTTCTTATGCACTCTATCACTGAGCTAGAGTCCTTAGCATCTCAATCCAGAAGAAGATTTCGATGATATCACAGTGAATGAGGCTACAATATCTGATTTTGATCCGATAGAGTTTGTGATTTGAGCTTTAAATTTATAGTGCTTATGTGAATCATCAACATTATCTTGACTTTGTACCATGTACCAGGTTTGTTTGTTTTACAGAATTCCAGTTTGAGCAGATGGGTTCATCACTTGATCTTAGGCATGCTTCTTTATACTATAATAATCCTTAGAACTGCTAGCTAGTTTTAGATTTTCCATGATTTATGTATCGAGGACCACTCAATTAAAGGAAATTTGGCATTAGTGATTGCGACTTCCTCTGTTCTGATGATGGTACTTTCCCCTGTTATTGTGTTTTCCCTTTTTGCTGCTGGCTCTGTTTGTCTTTTGCGTTGTAGAACCACTTTCACTGTACCTTGATCTTTAATGCTAATGAAATGTTACTTTTGTTAAGAGGTTTTTTTGGACACATTTCATGGCTCATTCTGTATGCAAATTTAAGTAGTTTTCATAGGTAAATCTGTATGTAATTTTTTATTAGAATTCATATCATTAGGTCGTAATCATGTGTAATGAGATTGAAATGATTGACCAAATATACAATCTTCCTTCACCAGCCAGTCCTGAGACTGAGAGGTCTTTACCTTGTCAAGGAGGTAGAAGAGCACAAAAATTCCGGCTACATTGGTAAGACGAGATTGTGCTGGGCTTTTACGTTACTATGTAATGAAACTGGAAGATTATCATCGCCTATTGAACTTCGAAGTTTAGGCTAAATAAGATTCCTTTTCCCTCTTTCTCTTGTTCTCTCATTTCCTTTTACTTTTTGTTTTTTGTTTTTTTCATTTATTATTATTATTATTATTTTGCCGCCTAGAATAAAGTAGATGAGAAAGAAAAAGAAGGGAAAAAAGGGGAAATTCAGCCATTGCATCATTTGAGATGAGGTTAATGGATTTGAAGGGTAGATGGAAGGTGGATAATTAGCTCAAAGCGGATGATTAGCTCGTTCTGAAGTTTTCGCTGTGATACATTCTCCTCCTCTATTAGTCTTATACCCTCCTTTACATTGTATTTTTCGCTGCACTTAAATACATAAGACATAATGTAAATTTTAATTTTTTTTAAATTCATCATATGATTATGGTTAGATATTCAAATGTTTTAAATATTAAAATGTTTTTAAATACTAAAATATTTTGATTTTCTTTTTTTTTAAATAAAATTCCACATTTTTTATAAAAAAAAAAGTATCACAATTATTACTTAATGATTATCCCTTATCTCAGCAAACAAACCCTTATATTACTTAAGAGGTCACGTCATCAAATTTAACAGAGGGATAAAAAAGAGATAAAAAAAATAAACTTTAGTAACAAAAGAAATGAACTTTTTAAAGTATGAGGACTTAAGAAAAATTTTTGTTAAAGTATAAGGATTAAATTTTACGTTTAATCTTTCCATGTTGAAGACCATTTTAATATAATTTTTTGGGCCGAAGAAGACGTTCTTCTTCTTCGTCCCATTGCGTGTTGACTGTTGAGTCAATCCAAGAGAGTTCAGCATAACAAACGGACCAGAGGACTGGTGGAGCTTGCAAGCCGGGCAGGGCAAAGTCTAACACGTAAGTGCTCAGAAAAATTGCCCTTTAAATCTTTTTCCTTACCTTTTCTTTAGTGCTCTTGGGGCAATCACCACCACATCTAAAGATTGTAGTGCTGTTTAATCATGAACCGAGTCTTTAGTGCGACTTTAGGCAAAGTTAGGGACCCACCGAATTGGGTCAACTAGGCGAT